CTTACTTTGGTGACAAAGAAGATCAAAACATACAACCAGAAGAAGACAACAATGTCAAAGCTCCTACATCCAAAGCCTCCAAGAAAAATATGAATCAGTCCCAGGCCTTGGAACAGCTCAAAAGGGATTTTGAGAAGCAAGTAAGAGAAGTAGAGGAAAAACTGGGAAGAGAAATGAGAATGATGCAAGAAAATCATGAAAAACAAGTCAACAGCTTGCTAAAGGAGACCCAAAAAAAAAATACTAAAGAAAATAACACCTTAAAAAATAGCCTGACCCAAATGGCAAAAGAGGTCCAAAAAGTCAATGAGGAGAAGAATGCCCTAAAAAGCATAATTGGCCAAATGGAAAAGGAAGTCCAAAAGATTACTGAAGAAAATACTTCCTTAAAAATTAGACTAGAGCAATTGGAAGCTAGTGACTTTATGAGAAATCAAGATATTGTAAAACCAATCCAAAAGAATGAAAAATTAGAAAACAATGTGAAATATCTCATTGGAAAAACAACTGACCTGGAAAATAGATCCAGGAGAGAGAATTTAAAAATTATTGAACTATTTGAAAGCCATGATCAAAAAAAGAGCCTAGACATCATCTTTCAAGAAATTATCAAGGAAAACTGCCCTGATATTTTAGAACCAGAGGGTAAAATAGAAATTGAAAGAATCTGCCAATCTCCTCTTGAAAGAGATCCCCAAAGGAAAACTCCTAGGAATATTATAGCTAAATTCCAGAATTCCCAGGTCAAGGAAAAAATATTATAAGCAGCCAGAAAGAAACAATTCAAGTATTGTGGAAACACAATCAGGATAACAAGATTTAGCAGCTTCTACATTAAGGGACCGCAGGGCATGGAATATAATATTCCAGAGGGCAAAGGAGATGGGATTACAGCCAAGAATCACTTACTCAGCAAAACTGAGGATAATCCTTCAGGGGGAAAAATCGTCATTCAGTGAAATAGAGGATTTTCAAGCATTCTTGATGAAAAGACCAGAGCTGAATAGAGAATCTGACTTTCAAATACAAGACTCAAGTGGAACATGAAGAGGTAAACAGGAAAGAGAAATCATAAGAGACTTATTAAGGTTGAACTATTTACATTACTGCATGGAAAGATGATATTTGTAACTCATGAGACCTTTGTCAGTATTAGGGTAGTTGGAGGGAAAAAATTATATATATGCATATATATAGATTATATGTATATATACACATAGATAGATAGATGGATGGATATAGGGCACAGGATGAGTTGAAGATGAAGGGGTCATATCTGGAGAATAAAATTAAGGAGTGAGAGAGGATTATACTAGGAGAAAGAGAAAGGGAGAGGTAGAATGGGACACATTATTTCACAAAAAAACAGAAAAGAAAAGGCTCTTACAGTGGAGGGAAAATAGGGGAAGGTGAGAGGGAATGAGTGAATCTTATTTTCATAGGATTTGACTTAAGAAGGGAATAACATACACACTCAGTTGGGTATGTAAATCTGTCTTACCCTACAGGAAAACAGGCGGGGAAGGAGACAAGAGAGTAGGGAGATGATAGAGAGGAGGGCAGATTGGGAAAGGGGGTAATCAGAAGCAAATACTTCTGAGGAGGGACAGGGTCAAAAGAAAGAATAAAATAAATGGTGGGGTGGGATAGGATTAAGGGAAATAGAGTTAGTTTTTCACAGCATGTCTACTATTGAAGTATTTTGCATAACTGCACAAGTATAACTTATATTGAGTTGCTTGCCTTTTCAATGAAGGAGGGAGGAAGAGAGAGAGAAAATTTGGACCCCAAAGATTTAAAAACACATGTTTAAAAAAAATCTTTTCACATGCACCTGGGGAAATAAGAAATACAGGAAATGGGATACAGAAATCCATCCTGCCCTACAGGAAAATAGAAGAGGAAGGGGATAAGAGAAGGGGGGGGGAGAAACAGAAGGGAAGACAGACTAGGGGAAGGGGTATTCAGAATGCATGCCATCTTGGGGTGGGGTAGGGGCGAGATGGGGTGAGAATTTAGAACTCGAAATCTTGTGGAAGCAAATGTTGAAAACTAAAAATAAATTTATTAATAAAAAAAAAATAAATGGCCTATTCCCTTCCCTTTCCTTATGTTACCATCCAACTGGGCCTAGAGGATGGGGTCATTTTCTTAACAAATGGCTTCTAATCGCGTCAGACTGGGTCCTTCCCATTGGATAATGTCTGCCGTTTTGTACTGAATCCCAGACATTTCCTGAAGACTGACTCAAAACTTCAGTTGCGTCATTTATTCTTTAATTTGGGGCTCTCACCCCTCAGGTGGGGCCCCTCTTTACTCAATCCCATTCAGCTCAAAGTCCTCTTGCCTGATTCTCTTGTCTCCAGGCTTCAGGCTGGCTTTACTTGGGCAGTTAGCTTTGGATTAGGGCTCCACCTGGTGGTGTACCTTGAATATCGTGGGACTTTGTTTTTATCAGGACACAGGTAATAAGGACTGGATTTGACAAATTTTCATTCAATTCAGTTCCACAAGCACATATCAAATGCCTGCACAATGTTAGGCACTGGAGATTCCCTCAAGGCATCTGTCTAGGAGTTTCTTCTTTTTCTTTCCCTTCCAAATTCTCTTCTTGTTCCTCCTCTTCCCTTCTCCTTTCTCATTCCCTTAATTATTATTCTGCCTCTCCCCCTCCCCCAAATGCAATGTTTCTTCTTCCTTAAGGATGAAGGGAATCAAACATCCCAGTGACTCCTGTTGGCAGCCATAGAATAGTTGATACTTTTATGGTGAATAAGTAGTGGGATCCTCCCAGTAGTGGTAACCTATAGGGTTCCTGACAGTGATGAGAGAATGGAAGTCTAGAGTCAGAGAGCAGACTGACCCTTCTCTCTTCTTCTCCCTCAGCCCCCTTAACCCTTGTGTCTGAATCCAGTGACATTGACTAGGAGAGGAGCCTGGGGGATGACAGTGAGCAGGCTGGTGGATAGAAAAATGGAAATATGTTCCCAGGGAAGCCTACTTCTTTATGAGGCTGGCTAGGGTTGGGGGAATGGCTGGGGGCCAGGGAGAGGGGTCCCCTAGATTCAGTTATTGTCACACAATCCAAGGGGCTATCAGTCTTCCCTTTTACTGTTCTGTCCCTCCTCTGGGTGGGGACTGGTGGGGGGAGGTTGGTGAAAAGAGAGGGATGATGAAGGTAAGGAGGCGGAGACTTTGGGGAGGCAGGCAAGGAGAAATATAAAAGAGGGAGAATGAGTTGTGGGGAAGACCCCATCTGACCTGAAGCAGGGTACCTCGGACCTCCTGCAGCAACAGGCTAGCTCACCCCCTTGGACTCAGGGTAAGTGGGCACAAGGATGAAGAAACTGAGGGGTGATAGGTCTGTCCCTTGGGTTTAATAGACCATTAAGGAGGCTTTTGGTGGGGGGACTGGAATTGGGCATTGGAGGCTGATACAGATGAAAGAAACTTGAACTCTGGATGGGGCAAGGCGTAGGATGCAGAGAGATTTAGATGTGGGAACCGGGTTGTAGAGTGCTCCACTACAGGGTGAAGAGGTGAGACTCTGGGGCTGGAGTTTTTCCTTTGGACCTCCAAGAAACCTGGTTCTTGGACCAGTTTCCCTGTGTACTAGTAAGGAGACATGCCCTAGGGACTCTTGGGAGAGAGTGAGTGGCCAGTCTTTTGAAGGGAATATGTCTAGGTAGGTTCATATATCCTTGAGTATGTGACTCTGTGTGTTTATACCGCTGAGAAGGCATGTCTATGTGTGCCTATGTAGCTGTGAATCATAAGGAATGCTATCCCAATACCTAGGTCAGACATTTCTGCATCCTTTCCTCTTAAAGGCTTCCTACAATTTCTCCTTCTTCAGGAAGCCCTCCCTGGAATGAGTTGATGTGGGCATATGTTTTCCTCCTCCCATCCCCTATTCTCCACTTTCTGGTTGTCATATGAATCCAGTTTCCTTTGTAGGAACTTTAAATGTTAGGCTGTCCGTGCATCAGTCAGTCCGTGTTGGGGTCGGTCAGTTTGAAACAGAGCTAAAACTAGGAAATTTGATATTGAGGATGAACTCCATGCAGTAATTCTCAAATCAACTTCAAGACAAATTCGTTTGGGATAGAATTCAGAGCACTCCCCTGTTAGGGAAGGATGCACACCCCAGCATGCCAGTCACTGTAGGCAGAGTCACTGGGACTCCTTAAGGCCATTTTGCCAGGGAGACTGGTGTCTGAAGGGCTGGTGAACAGGATCCCCGGAGTGTGTCATCCACCAGGAAAATGAAAAGTTCTACCTTGAAGCTTTCTATTTCAACAAATTATTCTTGCTTACTGGAAACTAAGCTCAGTTGTTTCTACACTGCTTGCTGAAGGACTGACTGTAAGTGATGCTGGTATTCTTTGGATTTCAGCAACCTGGATAAAGCCCAGATTGTCCCACCCTTGTTATGGCTCTGCACTTGTGGCAGGGAGCATCTGTGCATGTGTCCCTTGTCCCATACAATGCAGGCTCTGGTAATGCACTAAGTGCTTTGGACAGTGAGGCTGGGTGGGAGTTGGGGGCAGAAGAGTGAGATATCAGAAGAGTTGGGCAACTTGGAATTCCATTATTATTCTCTCCTTGGAATGACCATTGAGTATCCAGTTGGGCAAGTGTTTGCTAGATTCCTAGGCATCTGGAACATTTTTATATTGCGCTCTCTCTCTCTTTCTCTCTCCCTCTCTCCTCTCTCTGTCTCTCTCTCTCCCTTGTCCCTTCTCTGTCCCTTTCTCTTTTCATTCCCTCCCTCTCCCTGAATTCCTCTCCTCTTTCTTTCCTTTCATTATTTTCTGTTCTCTTCTCCTTTGCTCCATTCGTTTCTCCTTTATTCTGACATTTCTTTCCCCCTCTCCCTTTTCCTCCCTTCTCCTCCCTTCTTCTTTTCTGTCTTCCTCTCCTTCTTTATCTCTATTTCTGTTCTGCTTCCTCCCTTGGACTTCTCTTTTGACTCTTTCTTCTCATCTTTTGTTCCTCAGATGGCTGCCTCTCAATATTGGCTCTCTCTTCTGGTCCTCTCCTGCTGTGTGGCTCTCTTGCTGCCACCGTGTGCTCAGGGGGCTCCACAGGAGCCAGTGTACCCTGGCGATGATGCCACCCCAGAGCAGATGGCTCTGTATGCTGCAGAACTCCGAAGATATATCAATAGGCTGACCCGGCCCAGGTGAGTGAGAGTCACTGGAGTGGGTGGAAGTGGTGCTGGGGTCTGCGAGTCTGAAAAATGGCAAAGTGACATAGTGAAGACAGCAAGCTCCTCAGAGCCAGGAGGTCTGAAAACAGAGGTTTTTAGCTGGGGATGTTGCAAAGGTATGTGTTGGACAGGTAAAGTCTGAGGTCCTTTCCATATTGGCAATTCTGGGTATATGTACAGCATGCTTATGTATGTATGTGAGTAAATGCATGAGGGTGAGTCTGGACTACTTTTCTTAACAGTGAGACCTTAAAGTTAATGTGATCAGGTCTATCCAGATACAGTGGGAAAAAATCCACAAATTCCCACCAATTCTGAGTCTAGGGACTAACCATACTTCCAACCACACACTTCTCTCTCAGATAGACAATTCAAATTCTACCTTTCTGTCCTAGGTAGGGATTAGGAATGCCATTCTCAGAGAGGAAGGAGAGGGTCTATGTGTGTGTGTGTAATGACTGCATGTCTGAGTTTGTGAGACTGTATGTTTGCATGTGTATGAGCGTGGCCTTGTCTAAGTGGTGGGGGTGTGGACAGCTCTGATCCCAGATATATTTGCCACATTACTCTGCAGGTATGGGAAGAGAGCAGTGGGCCAGAGAATCTTCCAGGATGGAGTGGATATCTTGGAGTAGGTGGTTCTGCTGCGCATTCCCAGGTGCCAAGTTCGCCAAAACCTCTGAACTTCTCTAGACTAGGGGGGAGGAGGGCATAGTGTGTGTGTGTGTGTGTGTGTGTGTGTGTGTGTGTGTGTGCCCTCCAGAAGTAGGGAAGTAGAGTGGCTGGAGGAAGGAGGGATAAGGTGTTAGATGAGCAACAGGGCCCTTAGGGGCAGGATTAGGGTCCCTTGGGAAAGAATATGAGTAGAGTCTCTGAGGTGATGGGGACAAGATGTCATGCTAACTGGGGAGCCTTTGTCTCTAACCCGCCATCCTGCTGTCCATTCTCTTCTCTTACAGGACACCCAGTCATCTGAAACATCAGCGCTCCTGCCTCATTCCCCTTTCCTCATTTCCAGAGCCCTGTAGGAAGTCTTGGTCCTAGCTCCTATGGCCCTGGCAGAAGCTGAGCCATAGAGTTCTATCCTCATCCCTAAACCAGGCTTAATAAAGCTGAATCAAAATCACAGTCCCTTTGTCTCTCTGTGCAGTACTTTCACTTTAGGTTTGGATCTCAAGATATAATGACACACACTCAGTGTAAACTTAACAATCACATTTACTTTACAATGATTAATAATGATTAAGGCAACAGGCATATGAAGGTAAGAATAACATTCAATACAATAAATGATAATCAAAATCAAGAAAAGGAGGAATAAGAAAAGAAAGGATACACACTCACTAACCAGGCGATCTCAAATACCTAGGAGACCGGGGAGACTGGAGATGATCAAGAGGTCTGATCAGGAGGCCAAAAGAGCAGCGTCCTGCTCTTAAACAACAAGGGCCGTGCACACTGTCCACCCTTTAACAACAACAGAGATTTGGCGTCCCTATCTTTGACATCAAAGTACTCCAAAAAATCCCCTTTCAGATGCCCCTTTTATATCTATGTAAACCAGGGAAAAACAATCTTAATATTTTGTTTTGTGTACGTATCCTTGGTCACCTCAGGTCCTGGATATGCACACATTCTAACAAAGGTGGGAGCTTGATCAGAGCCCCAAATACCTGTTGTGTAAGTCTCCAAGGAGTGATCAGGTCCTTGGACAATTACACACCTCTCTCAAGAAAAATGTTCCTTGAGATCAGAATTGCTATCCCAGGTAACATAGTTTGTTGGTTACTTAATGTTTCGTCTCCATTATAACCTCTGTCATGCATGTTAATTCCACAGTACATTCTTTATGTCAGGTCATGAGGCAGTTTCAAGAGGGGCTGGGGAAGATCTTCCTCGGTTTCCCTCACAGTTTCTCTTTATAAATTGATTCTTTATGATTTAGGGAGTGATTCCATAGATATTATCTGATTTGATCATGAAGTAGACAAGGCAGGTAGAAAGAATTTCCCATTTTATAGATAAGTATACTGAGGCTTATCAATGGTAAAACCCTTGCCCAAGGTTTATCAATGAAAATGTAAGAATAATGTATGAATAATGTAAGAATAAGAATGTAAGACTAGAATCTGGGTCTCTGTGGGGACCATGAGGGATGGCTATAGTATAATGGAGGGACTCAAGGGATGTGGGAGGAGGAGATAAGCTTTAAGATTTCAGTAAAACAGGTGAGGCCCATGTTGAGGGTATTCTATTGTCACAATTGCTCTCCTGAATATTCTGAAAACTGACTCTAGAACCCCTTGCTATCTTTCTCAAGTTCAGTGTGACTGGGTAATCAATTAGATGATCCATGGCCTGTGACCTCATTCAGCATAATCATATCTATCACAAGTCACTTATCCACACACACAATGTAGGCATATAAATAATGTAAATAATGAGAAGGAATCAAGTAGGAAAGTCATTCTGTATCCCCACTCTACCACCCCATCCCCCACCACACACACACACACACACACACACACACACACACACACACACACACACACACACACACACACACTACACTCCAAAGTTATAAAACCATAGAATGTCCAAGGTGAAAGGGATCTTTTTTTCATTTTCTTTTTTTTCATTTCTTTTTTGTGGAAGGGATCTTTAGTTAATTTAGTCCACCTCTCATTTTTTTTTTGCAGCTAAGTGGCTCAGAGGATCCCTAGAACACTGGATTTGGAGGCAGGAAAACATGAGTTTAAAGCCCACCTCAGACACTTAATAGCTCTGTGATCCCAGGTAATCACTTAACCCTTTTCAGCCTCAGTTTTCTCAACTATAAAATGAAGATAATAATAGTCCCTACCTCCCAGGTGAGGATGTGAGGATGTGATGTGAGGATGAAATGAGATAATATTTGCAAAGAGCTTTTCACAATTTAAAGTGCTATATAAATGCTAGCTACTATTATTATTTTACAATGGGAGAAACTGAGGCTTTGAGAGAATAATTGACTTGCCCAAGGTCACACACCTATTCGGTGCCAGAGTTGGGACTGGAACTGAGGTCTCCTGACTCTCTCCCCCCTCTTCCTGCCATGTTGCTTCTTTGTCCTTCATAGCTAGTTCTCTTCTTGATTGACAAGGGATGATCTTCCTCAGAGCTTGGTCTTCCTTCTTAAGTCTACCTGAAAAATCAAAGGAGAGATGAACAAAACAGAAAACAAAAATACTAGAAACAATATTGGAGACAAAACTAGAAACTTTTTTTGAAAAAAAAAAGAGACAAACCCTCTACAAACAAACCAATAAACCATTAGCTAATTTGATTAAAAAAGAAGAGAATCCAATTACCAGTATCAAAAATGGAAAAGAAACATTCACAACAAATGGAAGAGAAATAAAGGATATCATTAGAAACTATTTTGTCCAAGTACATCCCAATAAAACCAACTTAAATGAAATAAATATTGACAAAAATATAAAATATCCAAATTAACAGAACAAGAAATAGAGAATATAAGTAATCCAATGTCAGAGAGGAAAAAAATGAATAAGCCAGAGATGAAGTTCTAAAGGGGAAAAAAAATCCAGGGCCAGATGGATTCACAAGTGAATTCTATCAAACAGTTAAAGAAAAATTAATTCCAATATTAGATGAACTGTTTACAAGACTAGCCAAAGACAAGATCCTACCAAATTCCTTCTGTGACACAAATGTAGTCTTGATACATAAAACAGGTAGAATCAAAATGGAAATAGAAAACTATAGACCCATATCCCTAATGAACATAGACATGAAAATTTTAAATAAAGTATCAACAAGTAGACTAAAATAATGTGTCACAAATATTATATACTATGACCAAGTTGGATTTATACCAGTTGCATAGGGTTGGTTTATTATTAGGAAAACTATAAACTTAACTAACCTTATTAAGAACCAAAATACATGATTATGTCAATAGATGCAGACAAAACTTGACAAAATATTTCTGCTACCAACACTAGAAAATATAAGGATAAATGAACCTTTCCTTAAAATAATAAATAATATATATTTAAAACCAAGAATTACCATTATATGCAATGGAGATAAACTAGAGTCTTTTCTTATAAAATCAGGGATGAAACAAAGATGTCCATTTTTGCCACTTTTATCTGACATAGTATTATTAATGCTGGCAATAAGACAAGAAAAAGAAATTGATGGAATAACTATGGGGGGAAAAGCATAATTGTCACTTTTTGCAGATGATATGATGTTGTATGTAAAGAACTCTGAAGAGTCAACTAAAATTTTGTTGAAACAATTAAAACTAGCGGGGCAGCTAGGTGGTGAAGTGGATAGAGCACCGGCCCTGAAGTCAGGAGGACCTGAGTTCAAATCCGGCCTCAGATTAAATACTTGACACTTACTAGCTGTGTGACCCTAGGCAAGTCACTTAACCCCAATTGCCTTAAAAAAAAAACCAATTAAAACTAGCAAATTTGCAGGATATAAAATAAATCCACAGAAATTCCCAGCATTTCTGTATAATACCAATAAAAATTGACCAGAAGAGATAGGAAGAGAAATTCCATTTAAAATCACTAGAGAATGTATAAATACTTGGGAGTCTGTCTTCCAAGATACACACAAGAACTATGTAAATACAACTACAAACTATTGTGTACAGAAATAAAGGTGGACCTAAGTAATTGGAAAATATTAAGTGATTATGGGTACAGCAAATCAATATAATAAAAATAATAATATTTTCTAAATAATTTAGTCATTCATGTGGATACCAATCAAACAATTGAAGTATTAATAGAACAAGAAAATAATAACAAAATTCATATGGGGGCAAAAACAAAAGGTCAAGATTCTAAAGGAAAAAGTAATGAAAATAAGTGGGGTTGGAAAGGGGGCCTGTCAGCACCAGATCTCTAGCTATATGACAAAGCAGTAATTCTCAAAACAATTTTGTGCAGGTTAAAAAAAGAGAGTTAAGAAGGAATAAGAAAAGCTGAAATTCTGGCTAAGATCTTCTAGTTCCAAATCAATCAACAAATATTAAGTCATTATCATGGGCCAGAAGCTGCCCATTCTACCACTCAGTCTCCTGATTCTTCCCTCTATGGATGGCATTGTCATAGCTATATCAAACCCTGTAACATTGTATAATCTCTTAGATTGATCCATTAATTCCTCAAAAGAGTTTGGCCTAACTATCCACATATGTAGCTAGGTGGCATAGTGGATAGAAGGCCAGGCCTAGAGTTAGGAAGACTTGAGTTCAAATCTGACCTCAGGTACTTCCTAGTTGTATGACCCTGAGCAAGTCATTTAACTCTGTTTCCCTCAGTTTCCTCATCTGTACAAAATAACTGGAGAAAGAAAGGGCAAACCACTTTGCAGTATCTTTGCCAAGAAAACCCCAAATGCAGTGAATATAGGTTAAGAGTTACCCAGGATGAGCAGTCATGAGATCTGCTTTGTTGTAAGGAATACCCACATTGATGAGATTGATTTGAGTATTTTAATATACAGAGAAGATGAATAATTATTGTAAAATAAAGCTAATTTTTGTTGTGCTCTGATAGATGTTTCCTTATCTCCTACTGTTTTTGCTATCTCTCTTTTTTTTTTTCAGCTAAAGACAAGGTTTATTAGAACATCCATCATATTGGGCAGACTCTTAAGGAGTCTGAACATGAGTAAGCAGTGGCTAGATTTTAAGAATCTCTGCAGTGGCTAGATTTTAACAATCTAAGCATCTTAATGGAGGCAAGATGGACCTTATATACAGAAAGACTATGGGAGGGATCTAGGAGTGGCCAAGTAGTCTATGAGGTAATAGAATTCCAGGGACCTGGACCACATGTCCAAGGGAGAATGGAGAAATGGCCTGGGGCCATAGGGAGGTCTGCAATGAAAGGCCAGTTGATGGGATTATAGGCTGGGGGGGAAGGGGGAACCGGAGGGGGGGGAAGGGGGAACCGGAGATTTGGCCATGTGGGAAAGTCCAGGGTTTTTCCTTTCTGGGGCCCAGATCCCAACCCCATCATTCCCCCCTCAAACAAATGGGACCCAAATTCTTTTGGAGTAAGGGGTGAAGGTCTCAGCTTCTGAAACTGCTTCCTGCT